GTTGTAATTGTCACTACTGACAAATCCCACATAAGCTATATTAATATAAATCTACACAACTTGAACCCCTGGTTTCTTTGGTCAGCTCAGCAGTGGAAGAGGGGGCACAGAAGGTCAAACAAAGGCTCATAAATACTTTCACTTAAAAGTGATAGTTCACATCCACACACATTCCACTGGCTAAAGCACATCATGAGGCTAACCTCTACTTCAAGTGGGCAGGGAATTGTAGTCTTCCTTGTCCCTGATTAAAAGAGAAATAAATATTGGCAAATATTAGTATTGTCAAATGCCGATAATTAATTGTTCTGTGCCTCTGTTAACTCATCTGTAAAATGAGGATGATAATATATCCAAGTCACAGAGCTATTTATGAAATGGAAAATGAAAGAATAAATATACAAAGCCTAGCATTATACTTGGTAGTCACAAAACAATAAAATTACCTATGATTATTATTATTAGCATTAATATTTATCTTTAGGATAGACTATTACATTGAGTAGCTGCACTCTAGGTCTTTTAAAAAAGTATTTCATACGTAATGTCAGATTAGTTAGTTTTCTTTGGAATAAGTTGCATAATCACTAAATTTGTTGCTTTTCTTCTTTTCTGTAAATGACATCATCACCTACCCATCTACTCAAGCTAGAAATTTTGGCATTATCCTTGATGCCCCTCTTTCCTCAACTCCTTAATTCAATCAATTCACCAAGTCCTGTGAATTCTACTTTACGAATAATTTTCCACCCCACCACTGCCCCTATTTTACATTATCATCATTGTTACGTACTGAATTTTTGTGTTCTTTCCCACTTCAAATTTCTATGTTGAAACCCTAAGTTGTAACTTCCAATCTGACAAGGATAAATGTTTTTTTTTTTAAGGTGGAAATGGAACTTTGAGAGAGAGATTTACAGGAGATCACAAGGGGGGAGCCACCATGATTAGGTTAATGCCCTAATAAAAAGAGAAAGATATATCAGAGCTCTCTGCCCTCTATGTGAGGACACAGCAAGAAGGCAGCTGAACACAAGTCAGGAAGGGAGCCCTCGCCAGAACCTGACCAGGCTGGCACCCTTGGGCTTCCACCCTTCAGAACTGTGAGAAATAAATGACTGCCTTTTAAGACATGCATTCTATAGTGTTTTGTTATGGCAGCCCAACCTGATTAGGGACAATCATTTTTTCCATAGACTACAATTCCCAACTGGTTTCCCCAGTATTAATTCTGCTCTTCTCTAACTCTTATTCACATAGGAGCCAAAGTGATTTTGCTTTTAGTTTAAACATGATTAAGCTTCTCTCTGGATGATATCCTTTAATAGTTTCTCATTTTTTTTTTTACCAAGGCCTACAAAGCTCTCTATGGGTATAAGAAACCTTTCTGCTTCAAAGGACATTCTAGTTCTCCAGGGATGAGGGAGTCATCCATATCAGACTCCCTACCTTGAATTTCTATGATTGCATTGATTATTTCCTAAAGAGAAGATGGGTTGGTGGACAGGTAGAAGTAAGAGGAAAGAACAGGCTTGGGGAATCCCATCAAATATTTCCTGCTCCTTTTTATCTCCTGAGTAGCTTCCTGATGAAGAAGTAGTTCAAACACTCTCTAGTTAGGTGTTTGAATCTGAAAGAAGAAATGACAGTGTCTTTCATTTTGTGCTTCAATTTCAATTCGTTGTTAGTGATTTCTCAAAAGATTAAGGTGAGAAGGTTAAATGGGGCTCAGTGTGAAACAGCATTGAGATTATTTAGTAATGTCTGCCACTGGTGAGAGAGTAGTGAATAGTGACTAGTTTTGCCACCGTCATCTGAGCCCTCCAACCTGGATGATAGCCTTTCTCTGACATCTGAGGAATCTTTTTTTTGAAGAGCTTTCTCTCAAAATCATTAGAAATTCTAGCGACCACTTATTTTCTGAGAGTGTCAGAAGGTTTAAATGCTGATAAAGTTTAAAGAAAGTGCATCGTAATGCTAGACAGGTGTGACATTCATTCCCTGTCTTGTAATTTGCTTTCACTGCTGGAAATTTTTATTTCTCTCTTATGTGGCACAAGAGTAACAGCAACATTCTGGTTGAAACAAAGCTTTTTTATTCAAAGGTCTTACGGGGTAATGGGTAAAAAGTTGGAAAATGCTTGCAGGAAATTAGCAGCACAACTTGCTTACTCGATTTCAGCCTATTAAAAATTTCCTGAAACTTATAAATGGAAAAATGTTTTTTCTCAAGGGTCTGCTTGTATCTTGCTTCAGCTTTTAGAAATAATTCAAGAAAAGTAAGCACAGGACCTGGGAAATCTGTAGAAAAGTTTCAACTAAGATGAAAAACTCAGTTAACTTTATTATTTTGTTTCCTTTCAAAGTCCATCGATCATACCACACTCTTCTCTCTGCAAAACAGTGAGAGTTACAAGTAATTTGGAGTGTTTACATTCAATGTCATCATGACGGAAGCAGCATTATTACATTGCAGAGCGATGATTAATAAATGATGGGGATTAAAGATTGCATCGCAGCAGGTAATCCTCTTGTCTGATATGTTGTTTCACTGATTACAAAGGAATGCAAATTGTATAAACAGAAATAATGTTTTGCTCTTATGCTAATTTTAGCCTAGCCCACCTGTGCATTAACTCACTTTCAATTAACTGGAGAAAGGTAAATAACGTTAGGTTTGCCAAGGTAGATTTCTGCCTTGTCAACCCACCCCATCTGATTATAAAATAAGTTATATTATATCTTATTTAAATTCAATTTTTAACCTTTTTTTTTAATTCCTGAAAAGATAAAATTCAAGCAAATTACTTAGATGAACTATGAGATAGGAGACATGGTGTGATTTGGGTAAGGTAAAAGGTTTGTCTTTCTCGAAAAGTTGTAAAAATTAGATCAATATTCTTGGCTATTTGACTATCATGATATTGTCATTTCCTATCCTTGTGCCTGTTTGCAACAGATCTTTAATACCAAATATTGTTCATTGAACATCATATCAATACTCTCCTTTGATTTTATCATAGGCCGAGGCAAGAAGCAATAAAGATTAATCATTTTGGATTTATTTCCACTGTAGCAAGAATGGGATACAAGTGTCATCACAAATGCCAACTTCAAGCAATTGCAGTGATTTCCTGGGGCCCTATGTGACAAGTCCAAATTCAGTGGGAAAGGCTGAGAGAATCCATTAATAATGTTTACGATGGGCAAGTAGTGGTGTCTTGTGATGGGGTTACCATCCCTGCATTAGAATTTGCAATCTTCCATTAGGCCTATTAAAAATTTCCTGAAACTTATAAATGGGAAAATGTTTTTTTCTCAAGGGTCTGCTTGTATCTTGCTTTGAGAGCAAAAACTGTACATAACTTGACTGGATGCGGTGGCTCATGCCTGTAATCCCAGCTCTTTGGAAGGCCAAGGCGAGTGGATCATGAGATCAATAGATAGAGACCATCCTGGCCAACATGATGAAACCCTATCTTTACAAAAAATGCAAAAATTAGCTGGGCGTGGTGGTGCACACCTGCAATCTCAGCTACTTGAGAGGTTGAGGCAGGAGAGTCGCTTGAATCCAGGAGGTGGGGGTTGCAGTGAGCTGAGATCATGCTACAGCACTCCAGCCTCCTGGTGACAGAGTGAGACTCCATCTCAAAACAAAATAAAACAACAACAATAAAACCTGTTCGTAACTCATTTTTGTGGCTCCAGTGCCAGGCACACAGTAGCTGCTCCAAGAGCAAAGGACATCTGAGTCAGGGTGCTTAGGTTCCATGGCTGTCTTTTTTGCTTACTTGCTGAGTGAACCCATCCTGATTATAACTTAACTCTGGTTCAGTTTCCTCCTCTACAGAAAAGGCATGAGTTTCTCATTCATAGAGTTATAATAAGGGTTAAATAGAGTCATGCATCTATATCCAAAGCTTAGCATAATGCCTGGGACATAGTAAATACTTGAGGGGCCGGGTGCGGTAGCTCAAGCCTGTAATCCCAGCACTTTGGGAGGACGAGGCGGGTGGATCACGAGGTCAACAGATGGAGAGCTTCCTGGTCAACATGGTGAAACTCCGTCTCTACTAAAAATACAAAAAATTAGCTGGGCATGGTGGCGCGTGCCTGTAATTCCAGCTACTCAGGAGGCTGAGGCAGGAGAATTGCCTGAACCCAGGAGGCGGAGGTTGCGGTGAGCCGAGATCGCGCCATTGCACTCCAGCCTGGGTAACAAGAGCGAAACTCCGTCTCAAAAAAAAAAAAAGAAAACTTGAGGAATGGATGTATAAATTAACATAGGAATGAATAACATCACAAGGAAACTGAAAGAAGGATCCTAAACAGTTCTGCTGGTGTAGGCATTTATGATTCAAAATCCTCAATTGTTAAAATTTGGGTCAGAACCTTATTATTCCAGGTCGTTGGTAAACGTGAAGGCCCTTCTGGGTTTGGAGGTAGAACAATAAAGTGAGAGGCCAAAAAAGCTGCAAATAAAAATTGGCTTCTCCGGGAAAATGGTTTCACATTCATAGCTACCTGCTTTTTGTCCTCCCACGCATTTCTCCAGATGTGATATCAATGTGATACAATTGTTGCTTATTCCTTCTTTGGCTATAGCCAGGCAGAGTGAGCTTGCTAGTGAGGCCTTAAAACATAGCTCCAGAGACATTCACCACTACTTCCTGCCTCCATGGTTACCCATTCCCTTTCACAAATAAAACATGGCCTCGTGCTTCATACTGAGTTTGCTTTTCACATGCATCATTTGGATCTTCTCTGTAAACCTATGAAGTGGGCATGGTAATCTTCCTTTACAAACAGAGAAACTGAGGCCTAAGATAAGAAGCCATTTCCCTTTAAGCAACTTTTATTTTGTCAAGGTCCGAATGGCTGATGATTCATGTCATAGATATTGCAAACCAGCCAGTAAGCAGAGCTCTTGGCATTCCAAATGAGAACGTGGACCAGACAGTCCACCTGGCCACACAGACCTCAGCTCTGAAGGCAGACAACTACTTACCTGTTAAAATTTCCTGTGCACTAATCTTTAAAATCTAGAGATAGATATTAAGTAGGTTAAGTGACATTTTAAATCAGCCTATGAACATTTGACAACAGAATCGTTTTTAGAATCTTGATTGTGGATTCACTGTTGGGCTTAATTAACTGCTTCTCCGTAGTTGGTTTTGGGTGTCAACTCGACTGCGTTAAGGGATACTTGTCTGGGAAAGCATTATTTACTCTCCATGCTTCAGTAGATAATGAGCCCTTCCCTCTTCTGGTGAAAGGGAAACACAGGTGGTTTGGCATTTGATTAGAATAATTGGGCTGCCCCAGGTGTGTCCCTGAGGGTGCTTTTGAGGGAAGCTTGGACTAAATGAGGAAGATCCGCCCTCCACGTGGGCAGGCACGATCCAATCAGCTGGAGGCCCCAAATAGAACAAAAAAGGCGGATAAAGGACGAAGTCTCCACAGAGGAGAGCTGTGCTTGTAGATAGACAAGAGCTCCAGGTTCTCCGGCTTTTGGCTCCAGGACTCACACCAGTGTGCCACCAGGCTCTCTTTAGTTTTGGACTGAGATTACACCATAGAATTCCCTGGTTCTGAGGTCTTCGAATTCAGGCTGAGCCATGCTACAGGCTTTCCAGGTTCTTCAGTATCCAGAAGGTCTGTTGTGGGACTTCTCAGCCTCCATAAGCAAGTAAGACAATTCCTCTAATAAATCCTTTTCCACATATTTTTCTATACGTCTGTAGGTTCTGTCTCTCGGGAGAACCGTAACTAAAATCCATTCTCAAGGGTAACCTGCATAAGAATTGCGTGGGTAAGGGAGGTAGAGTCTTGCTAAAACGCACTTTGATTCAGAAGACGTAGGACGTAGGATTTTCTGTAGTTCTGGAACACTCCCAGGTGATGTTGATGCTGATGGACAAGGAGCACACTCTCAGTTTTAAACCAGGCATCCACAAAGTGCTTTCGGCAGATGCCTAGCATCAGAATATGCACATATGAAGAGAGTCTGCCTTGGTCCGATAGTGGGTCTTAGGTGAGTCTGGAGAGACCAGGGGAAGCTGCCTGTTTAAAAAGCATTCAGGTGATTCAGCCACATATTAACAAAGCATTGTAACATTAATGAAAAAGTGTTTTCCAAACTTTCTGCACTGTTAGAACCACCTGCTGGTTAAAAGACACTGATTTCCCAGGCTTTCTTCTTTTCAGACTCAGTTTTAAAGGTCTGGCTTACCTCATCTTCATCTATGCAATTCCTGATAATGGCTTAGTGAGGTTATGGAACTTGTCCAGAATCAAAACTAGTAAATAGTAGTTTCAAGTGTATGTGTAGACTAATGGAGAAGAATCGGCGAAGAAATAGAGTAATGAGAGACAGACAGGGAATTTGAGACTTCATCAGGAGATAATTGAGTGTACCTGGAATACTCAGTGCTGCTGGGCTAGCTTTAAAAGTCTTGCTCACCCAACAGTTGTGTATTGGCTTCTCCACAGTGTGCCTGGGCTTCAGGAAGGCAAGAAATAGGACTTGCTTCCATACTGGTGCAGGCTAAGCTCCAGAAAAGACAGCCGCATGGACTCATAACTGCTTGGAGAACTTCAGAGAAGGGACTTCTAGTTTCTAGTGTTTGCCATGCTGGTAACACCTGCCTTGTTTTTTTGGTAAAAATAAAAACCTACACAAACAGAATGGAAAATCATATTCTAAAAAATATAACTTTCCCAATAATCCCCTACCCTTCCATATCAATGTTTTAAGTCGATTAAAATCCTTTTTGTCCCCCAGTTTTTACACACATAAATTTTCTAACACTGGCAAGACATTTCAGAGAGGAGAGAAACTTATTAAGGGTATCTTAAAGGTCTAAACTAGCAGCAATATATAGAAGTTAGTGGAGGACACATTTCTGTGGACAGAGTAAGGGAGAATGGTGTAACATACTAGCATGATAATTAGACCAGGGAGAGAAAAATGTTTTATCTTTTAATGCTAGCTCCAATCTATTGACCATCTAGGGAACTGTGTAGGGAAGTGGGCTAAGCTGACATCTAATTAGTGTTTTCAGAAGATCTTGGTAGCCAGGTCTTTTTTGTATTATATCTAATAAGAATTATTTCACAGTTGTTTTCTAATTGTACTCTGGGTGAATATGTGCTGTGGTCTGGGTGAGTGTGCATCACTATGCCAGGGGATTTGGTGAGGAGGAACCAGAAATTCCTCCTTTGTTATTAATATTCTTAATAAAACCTGGTTTTCATGCTTTGCGCCTGGCTCTGTCGAAATGATGGTTATGGAGTTTAAGAACTAGAGCAGAACAAACACAGTTCCTTCTACCTCAGACACCCTTCCAGAGGGAAAAGGGATGAATGATGTCATACTTCTTGGCTGCTGTTATTCCCCCATTCTCTGTAGAACTCAAGGTGCTGCTCCTCCAAAACCAAATAACATTAAAGTCTCCATCTGTCATCTGAAACCACAGAACTCAGTGGAAGGCCCAGCTGGTCAGCTAGTATCCATGTCCCTCATTCAGTACATGCCGACTCTTCTGGCTCATCCTGCCTGCTCACCCCTGACCTCCACAGACTCACCTGATTATGGTCCTCGCCCTTCAGTTGTCTACTTAACTCACCCCAAAGAATGATTTGAATCTTTATACAAATCATATCCCCTAATTCCTCTGTCCCTTCCTTCTCTTCTGCCTTCGACCGCATCCCTCAGATTCTGGGGCTTAATTATCTTCCCAAAGTTTCAGTCTTCTTTCTTACCCATGCAAAATTCATATTTTACATCAATTTTAAATGGGAGAGAAAATAATAATTTTAAAAATAAGATAAATGACAACTACTCATTACCTACTTGTTCTAGACTTTCCCATAACAGGATAGTTCTAGATGTTTTCTTTCAGATTTTGGATTTATACTGAGATTCACAAATACAGATTGTATTTTAATTATTTGTTAAAACTTGTTATGGTAGTTAATCTTAGCAAATGTTTTATTGGTGGGCTTCAGATGAATATGAATTCATTAATGGTTAAACAACTTATTTGTATTATTCAAATTTTGTGTATCTTCACTAATTATTTTTGTCAGCTTTCTCTCTCAATTACTAAAAGCTATGTGAAAGCCTAAGGCTATGTTGGTAAATCGTCGATTTCTTCTTAATCATAGTCAAGTTTAGAATTAATGTATCATCTTAGTAGCTGAAACTTGGTGATTATGCGATCTTCGTTGTCCCTAATAATTTTACCTAAATGCTATGTTGACTGATATAAATACAAACTCCTGATTTTTTTTTAAGCTAGTATTGTTTTTTTTTTGTTAGTATATGCTTTCCATCCTTTTTCCCACCAATCTTTTAATTTCTCTATGTTTTGGTGTGTTCCTTCATGGTATAAAGCAGCATTATAAATCCACAATTTGCCTTTCAAATGACAACACAGTTGATCAATCTTAGATGTGATTATTGTTGTTTTAAACTTTATTTCCATTGTGTTATTTAATGTGTTTTCGTATTAGTTTTTAGAAGCTTTTGTGACTCCTTCCTTGCCTCACTTTTTATTTTTGAAAATTCCATTTCTCTACTAGTTTGAAAATTCCATAATCCATTTTTGTCTCAAACTTGACGTTTCCCTATGTAGTCCTAATTTTTATGAAGCCTGAAGTCAATCTAAACTTCTCTCTCCTCCTGAGCAATCCTGAAACTTTAGAATGTTTACATTCTGAATATCTAAATTCCTTTAAGCACATATTTTAAAAGATTGTTTAATGAAGGTTTGTTGTGCTGAACTCTATTTTTGTTTATCATATCATTTTGTCTTAAGAGATTTTTTCCAGAGACATTTCTATTCTAATTGACAGCTATTTTCTCGCACACCTTGGGGCATATTATTTGAACATTTGATTTGTTATTTTTGTGGGCCTTTTTCCTTAGTTCAGCTAGAGATGAGGGTCTTTATCACATGGTCATGAAAAATTAGGCTTGCAGACAACTTGAAGTGTGAGTAAGGCAGGCTTTTATTGGGTGAAAAAGAAGAAAAGGGGAAACAGGGACTCTCAGCAGACTGAAAGTCCTGCTTGTATTAGTACCTGCTTCCCTCCTGGCAGATTGAATCCTAGGATCCACCCAGGAAGAGGAGGGGCCAGGCTCCTCCTGGCTGCAAATGGCCGGAACTTCTGTGGCTCCACCCCAATACATATTCCTCCAAGTACACAGGCATGCTGGAGTTTCTCTGGGGAGTCCTTTTCCACCTGGGTGTCTCATTATTATGAATGTTTCCTGATTTCCATTGTACTTTAAAGAAATCTTCTATTTATTACTCCTTTTATAAAAGATTTGTTTTCCTTTTAGCTGCTTTTAAGATCATTATCTTTAGTGTTTTATAGTTTCATTACAAATATCTAGCTATTGATTTGTGATTTACTTTCTCAAAACTCCCTGTGCTTCCAAGATTGGAAAACTCATGTCTCCCCCACCCGCCCACAGGCATTACTTTGGTGAGTGAGCCACATGCAGTTGAAATAAAATATGCAGTCTGACATGCATTGTAATGTTCTATACATGTCAACTAGATCAAGCCTTTCAATAGTGTTGTTCAGCTGTTCAAAGATTACTAATGTCTACTTTTTCTCAATTTTAGAGGAGTGTTAATCTCCAACTATAATTGTAGATAGATCTATTTTTCCTATTAGTCTTGTCAGTGTTTTGAAATTGTTAGGTGCATATACACTTAAGACATTTATGTTTTTTTAATACACTGACCTTTGATATCATTATTAAATATTTTTTATCTGGAAATTATTGTAACCTAAAGTCTAATACATCAATGTCTTGTCTAAATCAATGTTCTCATTATTAGTGTCTGCATGCTATATTTTTTCCATCTATTTTAACCTGTCAGTGGTGTTGTATTTAAAGTGCATTTCTTTCCAACAGGATGTAGTTAAGAGTTGATCTTGCTTGGGATCAACTCAAAAGGTGTAACCAGATTACCAGCCAGATTATAATCTTTTTATGTTGGTGATTAGGAATTTGAGACAGAGAGAAAGTTACTTGGTCAAGATCACACAGCTAGTAATTGCAGGTATGAGCATAGATTCAGGCACACGATGCTCAACTCTGTGGTAATCTTATTGCTGCACAGACCTTGTCTCATTGATTTCATTGATATTGGAGGGTTCCCTAGTTTTCTCACTTCTGATTTTCAAAGGTGTATTTCAACATCATGGTCAATTGGATGAAAACTATTGTTCTAGATTCATGGAAAGCTTTTGGGTTTACCTGCTTTAGTGACTTATTCAGGATATTCAGTCCTTAGCGTTAAGCAACTCCTCTTACAGTTCAAAGATTTTTGGATAACTCCAAACCTTTGTAGTGTAAAACCATGCAGTCCAGAAGCCAAGTGTCCCTTTAAAAGAAAGAGAAAAGTCTACTCAGGAGCACACTTGGCCCTTGACCTCTTTTGATGTTTTTCCTTTGAGAATGCAGATCCTGTTGATTTTAGTCCCTCCATACTGATAGGGCTTCAGAAATTTCTCTCAAATCCTCCATTCTTTTTTGCATCTATTTAAAATAATTTAAAAAAACATTAAAAAAATTTTTATCGGATAAGGCATTTGCTATGTTTTGTTAAAGGTGGTTGTCATGGATATAAAAACTTGTCTGCCTTTTTGAAGTTGAAATGAAGAATC